CAGCAGAAGACGACGGTGGATTCGAGGAATCTCTTGTTTCATAATTGTTGGGATTACTTCCATTTCGAGTGAAAGTGTTTTTTGGTGAAGAGATTCGAAGGTCGGTTCCAGCAGAAGACGACGGTGGATTCGAGGAATCTCTTGTTTCATAATTGTTGGGATTACTTCCATTTCGAGTAGAAGTGTTGGGTGAAGAGAGGGTTTCGAAGAATTTCTTGTTTCATAATTGTTGGGATTACTTCCATTTCGAGTAGAAGTGTTGGGTGAAGAGATTCGAAGTTCGGTTCCACCAGAAAGACGACGGCCGATTCCTCTTGACCAGCTGTCGATCGGCTTTAGCGGAACATTCTTGTTGACGCTGTTTCCGAGGCAACCTGCCTGGATTCAGATGAAAGGGTGCTAAGCTTTCGTGCGTCTGGTCACCAACACGCTCAGAGCAAGGTATCATCGTCACGACCAAATGCAAGCTGGACTCGTTTGCGTGTGTTTGTCGGTTCGTCTAAATCACGAAAAGATCGCTTGCGAAGGCTGTTTGTGTGATTCAGTGTCGGCTGGACAACATTCGTGAATGTGTTTCACAGAATGCGGAAAGACGCCCAACTGGTGCCGAGTCAAGTGCCAGTTACCGTGCTGGGAAACGAATGTACAAATATTGACCTTTTGTCCGCCCCGCCGCGATAGGCAGGTTCAGACCGAGAAGCCGCCACTCACGAAAATATGTGTGAAACACACCTCGCCACGAGAACGGAGCTACAGTTGCACCGACTAACCAACACTCTTTAGTCACCTTCTACACGGAAATGTATGTCTGTCTGTCTTTCGTTTATCATTAGAGTTGCTCTGTTACTTTGTCCGCTTGCCCATGCGTTGCGATGGGCCATTCCAAGAAGAGTTGTGGAAACAAATCTCCGATCTGGACAAAGCTTTGAGCAGTTGCACTTTGCCACAATCCCGTGAGTAACCATGACGCCGGTCTCATCGGCACTCACGGCGCGACTCGAACCGTGGGGGTGCACTACTTATTTCAAGTCTTGTAAGTAGTCTGTCTCGCCTGACTGCCAGTAGAGCATAGAAGATCGGGTGACTACATCGCATTTTTATCATCTAATGCCAGTTGTTGTCGTTGTGTCTGTCCATCTGTTGGCCGGTCAATCAGTCAGTTTGCATGACATGTATCCTCCCAAATCGTTTCTGTTGCTAACGCGACTGGTAGATGGATTCTCGCGCAATCCGATGAGTAGACCGGCCGTGTTCAACTGCCTTTCGTCTGACCCTGCTAGCCCAAAGCCTCTTCTCAACCCGGCCTCCATGTGGACGCATCAGCAGCCCGAGCGGGACTCGAACTCGAACCCGTCTTGCAGAAGTGCAGCATATCATCGTGAACCGTCGGTCACTACGCCAGACTGCCTTGACTCCACTTGGCTCAAAAAGCAGATGTGCATTTCCATATCACATTCTCTGGATGAAGCAACATTGTATTTGCTATAACAGCTGACAGTATTACTCATGAGTAGATTTTCGAAACTATCACTAATATATTATATATATATATATATATATATATATTATATGTGTTCATCACATTTCGTTAAGGTGCTAGTGGGACTTATGCAAAATTGCCAGGATGAAAATACCTTTTGGGAGTCAAGGCTTTGTGAAATACAACAGATTGACGGAAAACATATCTACCAATCTTTCGTCACTTTAACGAAATGAGGTGAATACATCTCGTATTCACGCCGAAAGATAGTCTTGTAGGGGACAGCATTGATAAAAACAAACAATTCACACAGTCACAAAGTCACAAAGTCACAACTGTTTGTGCTCCAAAGCCTCTTCTCAACCCGGCCTCAATTTGGACTCATCCGCAACCCGAGCGGGACTCGAACCATAACCGTCGGCCACTACGCCAGACTGCCTTGAGTAAACTTGGCTCACAAGGCACATGTGCATTTCCATATTACATTCTCTGGATGAAGCAACATTGTATTTGCTATAACGACTGACATACTACTCATTTTTTGTTTATAAGTAGTTTTTCCAGGCTATCAGCGGATAGCATTTATGTGATGTCACGAAAATTCAGCCACTTTTTCTGTTCGTCTCTCTGTCAGTTTGCATGCTTGTCTGTGTAACTAGGGGGGGGTGCGGATGGCAGCGGGAAACAGCCCAACTCGAGCAAGGTCAGGTGGGTTCGGCAGAGTGGCCGCTTTGATCTTGTCCACCATGCGCACAACCACGCACAGCATCTGTCGTGATTCGGAGCAACGAACAACAAACAACAAACAACAAACAGCAAACAGCAAACAGCGAATGACGGAAACCGGACGTGGAAGGAGAAGATGGCGGCTTGGAGACGGAAGGGTGTGGAGTGGTGGCAGAGGGTCAGATCATGTGACCGGTAGAGGCGGGAGGAAGTCTGTGAGCGCCGGATCGGCTCATGCGGATCTGCCTCGAGTCGTCCAGTCGCCTGACGACTGCACACGGATCAGCTCGGCCTGCTCACACGAACGCTGCGTCGACGCGTCATAGTTGCCTCATGCTCGACAGAAAAGACACACAAACACATGTGTCCATCTATACAGCCGACCAGCTCCACATGTGGACACAGTCGAGGGTGGACAGACGAGACGACTCAACAACGAGACATCTCAAACCGGCTGTCCATCGGAATGGCACCGCGAAATGTTCGGCTGTCGTCATGAGTGTGTGTTTTTTTCACCGAGCGCAGATCACACAAAC